ATGAACAAAAAACAAAGAATAAAAGAATAAAACCAAACTAGAGGAAAACAAGAATAGGAAAAGATTTAGATTAATATAATGTTCGGAATAAATGAAAGAAATATATCCTGACCGTATATTGTCTATCCAGTAGACCCACATAGTACTATGACCAATAAGATGGGCAAGAACCAGAGATTTATAAAAATGAAAACTAATACTAACCAAATGAGATAATTTATAAGGAAAAATAAAAATATAAAAATATATCGACCGCCAACACTCATTTTTTTTTTCGACCATTTATATAATATATATTAAAACGAAAGCTACGGTTAATAATGTGCAAATGTTCGTTCATGCAGTTGTCGATGATTTTTTCGAAGGTAGGGGTCTAGTCAAAGAAGGTCTAGTCTTCACTGGTGTGATCGGGGTCTTTTTGTTAACAGAGGCTCTGGTCACTTTTGGTCGAGTACTTTCCATGATAGTGGCCAGATCGCTGGTGCGCTTTCTCGCTGGTTCACTCTTCACTTCACGATCGCTGTCACTAGATATTGTGTCAGTGGGTTTTTTCCTGGCAACGGTCTTTCCTACGGTAGCCTTTTGGGTCGCAAGCGTTGATGATCTATTCTTTCTATCAGGTGCAACAACACCGCTCAACATGTGATTCAAAACCACCATGTCACGTTTTCTCTGGTTAACGGCGGAACGATTGATGGGACTAGGTTCCTTTTTTGGAGTGATCGTGGCATCGCGTTTCTTTTTGAGGACGTCTACGGTACTAGGTGTGGAGAACGTTCGGGGTTTTTGAAGTGACGCGATGCTACTTCTGGGACTCTCGATCGATGAGGTGGAAGTCGATGATTTGGTCCTGATCAAAGTGGCGCGTGGACTATCTGAAACTCTTCTTGTTGAGGAATTTCGTAACGGACTCTCAATACCGTTTAAACTAGATTGCCTGCGCAAACGAGATCCGTTCGCCGTTTCATCTCCGCTACTCTCGCCACCACTAACGCTGTAAATCGAGGACACTCTGGATTTGGGAGTCTTTGAGGCGGACCTTACCGAGGATGCTGGGGACTTTGTTTGAGCGGGCTTCGGAATTCGAGATTTGATGGTAATCAACTCTTGTTCTTTGGCTTCCATTTTTTCTTTCAATTCCGTTACCTCATCCTTGAGTTGGCGGTTCATCTTAACAAGTCTAGTGATCTTGATCTCCTTTTCTGAGCTTGCATTCTTTGATTCTTCCAACTGTTTTTTTATGCCATCAAATTCTTTCTCTAGGTCCGTAATCTTCTTTTCATAATCTCTACAGGCTTCAATTTTAGAATTCAAGACCTTTTGTAAAGTATTCAACTTACTAATTTTTGTCTCCTTTTCCTTCTCCTGTGGTTCGACCTTTGGAACATTTTGAAGGATCTCCAATTGTTTCTCAAATTGAGCAATTCTTTGGTCTCTCTCGGTGACAGCATTGATGAGACCCTGATAATTCGATCGGAAGTGTGCTGTTTCGTCTTTGAGGGAAGACAAGATTCGATCTTTTTCACGGGCTTCAGAAGCCTGAGCGGTTATAGCTTGCCTAAGTTGTGCAACTTCTTGACGGAGAGCGATGGCGGATTGCTCCTGTGCTTTGAGTTTTTCGGCGCTTTCTGTGGAGTTGCGCAAAGATTCTTGATGTTTTCGTTCCAGTTCGGCAAGAGCTCTTTCTTTTTGAGCAACTTGTTGACGCATATCATAGACAAGACCGTCGGCCTCTTCGACACGCTTTTTTAACGGATCAATCTGAGAGTTTTGATCTTTTAACTTTTCTACCTTCTTTGACTCAGAAGCTAATTGAGAGCTAAGGGACTCAATCTCATCATCTTTGTCTTTTAGATTAGCGTCAATGTTCTCAAGTTGTTGGGTGAGATCGTCAATTATGTAATCTTTGTGACGGAGTTGTCCCAGTAGATCTACAGGTGCACGTTTCTCCCGTAACTCGGCGATAACTTTCTGGGAGGTGTCCAGCCGTATGTTGAGGGATTCGATCAGCGAGTCTTTTTCATGAATCTCGGCCTCCCTCTTCCTGAGAATTTCTAGTTGAGAGGACAAAGAATCAAGAGTTTTTTGCTTACCCTGCCATTCGGTCTCAAGCGTTTGGTATTTTAAAAGTTGACTGGAAATTGCTTCAAATTTCTTTTCCTTTTCTTTCGACTCGTTAACGCGTCTAGTAGAAATCTGAATTTTCTTAGTGAGGTCTTCGATGATCTTATTTTTTTCTTCAAGTTCTTGCTCGAGGAGTATAAGGGCCTCGGATTGGTCAAGATCCGAAGATTGATTTCCACTCAAGGTCTCGAGCTGTTGTTGTTCGACCAGCTCGGCGATAGCCCTCTTCGATGCCTCAAGCTGACCTTCCAAACGCTCGATTTCAAGGCATTTCTTTCTGTCTTCTTTGTCACGTCTTTTCAGGGTGCGTTCAAGTTCCTCGATCAATTTATTCTTTCCCCTGATCTGCTCTTTGTATTTTTGTTCCATTGAATCCAATTGAACGGATAACATCGTGATTTCATTTTCAAACTCCTTATTACTCCCGCTAGACTGATGCGGCCATGAGTCAGTGCTGTCATCGCTAAAGTAAGAATCGTTGTCACTGCTGTGCCCCTCACTTCTAACCTCGTCTGAAAGTCGATCGAGCTTCTTGTTGTTTTCACGGACAAAAGAAACCGTCGTGGCCAATACTTCGGCAACATCTATGTAAGGATTAATCGGCGTCTGACGAGGGGAGACTGGGTTAGAATGATTAAAACTAATACTTCGTTTTAGTTGTTTTTTATGTTGTTTTTCATCTGATGTATATTTATGGGAAGGGGTTTGATGTTGCAACTTTTTTTCGTAGTTTAGTTGTGGCACAAGTGAAGCCGCAAATACAGCGGCAGCATCTGCAGTAGTGACAACTTTGGTGGGTGTCAGCGGCATATAATTTATGCCCTTTTGTGGTGAAGGTGGGTTATGTTTGTCATCTGGTGAGATAAAGGAATGGCGTCTTCGCGTCGGCGTCGAATATGGTGGTGAGGATTTTTTGGTATACGACCCAGGTGTTGGCGATCGGGATGAATGTGTACGGATTATGGAATTATCTGACAAAGGAAAGAGATCTTTGTGAATTTTATGGTATGGCGAGGAAAAAAAACGCAATTTTCCATAATTCCCCCAACTACTATTATTCTCATTGTCGAATAATTTGCTTAAAAATCTTTCATGCTCATTTGTTCCATCCCGGTTTGTCGGAAAAGAATGCTTTCCTAAGCACCCGGACAAACCGAAATAAACAACTGAAAAGGTGAATGTTTTCTTTATAAAGAAAGAAAGACACTCGTTGGAAGGTTGAAAGTTGAATATGACGTTTAAATGAAACTATTTTACAAGGTGACCTTGAAGCCTAAAGCTTATTGACGTCGAAAGATTTTTTTTTTTTTTTTTTCTAAAAAATTCTCACGAGACAAATCTTCCCAATCCGAAGGAAACGATAGGTAGTATGTGAAAAAAGAAAACTCACCACCGTTCTCGCACTCGTCATCTACTACTCCAGCCTCCTTACTGGTAAACTCTGTTGGCTTCTCGTTACCATTAAAACGAAGCATCTGGAAAGGATTTACCTGGAGAGACGTAGACGTTTTGGTTGAGTTCGTTTATTTTGTTTCAACCTATTATTGTTAACGAAGGAAGGAGGCGAAAAAGAAAAGAAAAAAAAATGTTTACCCAATAGGTTTCTGCCATTGTTGGCTGTTTTTCGTGAGAAAAGAAACGAACATTCATCAGTTAACCTGAGGGTAGGCGGGCATGTGCACTATTATTTTACATACCTGGTGTTAGGAATGTTCTATCGGTTGGTTTGGGTGAATCTTTTTATTGAGAATGACTGAGTATTTTCGCTCGAACGGTGGTAAATCCAAGAACCACAGTATACGACTGTCAACGCGTTGTTTGTTTGTTAATAACAAGTAGCAAACCCCTCGCTTGTCCTGCCTTAAGGTTGTATGGAGTGACGTCAGATATGCAAAGTTTTTTTTATTAAAGTTCTAAGCTTGAGGCTGGGTTTATGATAAGTTTGTGACACTGCACGCGGGATATGAAGGGTTGGTCAGTAGGCCAAATGGAGGATGGACTCGGATGATTTTCTACTTTTTCAGTTCAATTAAAATCTAAATAGACTGCTACGTTATTAGACCCTATTCTGATTGTCCGACAAATAAATTTCCTTATATGGAGTTCCGGGCCTTTTTTTCAGTTGGGACTTTTATTAAAGGGGCGACAAATAAGTAACGACAGTAAAGAGGATGATGATAAGTTTTAGGAGAGAAATCGTCTTGTCGTTAAAAAGTTAAGAACGTAATGGTTCTCAAATAAAAATTTCCCTTTCTATGCAAGACACAGAAACACAAATTAATCACTAACTCACTCTTTTTTCTTTCTTTCCTCCCTTGAATTATTATTATATTAGATTATTACTATTTATAAAAGGATCCTTCATCAACTTAAAACGTTATATTGATCGTTATATGGAATCTGCGACGATAATACTACAAAGGCGTACAGTCGTTCATCCAATAATAGTTAATAGCTGCCTGCAGACCGTTAAATTTAATTTTCAATAATGGATACGTATTCGGACTTGGCAAGCAGAAAAAGAAAAGGTTTCGTATTTTACTCGTTTCTTGTTAGCGACAGTTTTGTGCCTTCGGCTAAAAAATATGTGTATTGAAAATTATTATTTTTGACCGCAAAGACAATTTGCGGTGAATAACCGAAAGGTTAAAATTAAGTATGGAAAAAATAAAAGAAAAGAAAAAATAAAAGAGAAGAAAGAAAAGAAAAAAAATCAAGGTATGCTGAGACGGAAAGAAGGTAGGGTGTTATATATACCAATTGTTTTTAGAACCAAGAATTTTAAGCTATATGATTGAATATGGTGACCTCGTTTTCTACTTCCTTCTTTGTCCCCCTTCCTTCTCTTCATCCATCAATTTATATTTTTTTGTTATTGTTTACATTGGTACACTGAACCGGAGGGAGTGAAGCGCAGGCAGCACACAGAAGATTAGTTGTATGATGGGCAACACTGCCTCAAGCAGAAATCGCCCAATTCCTTGCCAAACTCGGGCAGAGGTAACAGTAAATAAATAAATAGAATGCATAAATCCGGCGAAACTTGGCCGAGAACAGCTAATAATATACAGCACCGAATGATAGTTGCAAAAAAAAGTTTTGTGAAATATGAAATTTGAGTTGTTAAACTGCAACTCATTGAAAAAAACCCCCAAATCGATCATTGATAATGATAATGAGCAATAACGCCGTGTTTTTTAGTTTTATGTATGTGTTGTGATTGTTGTGTAAATGCGTGTCTTGAAATTATGAGGAAAATGGCGAGCACAAATTGAACACTAATAATCTGATTTAATCATTACGACGATGATGAAAGTTTCCTAGCGCTGATGAGAATAATTGGATCTCTGGTGATTACACTATCCTCATACTCAAATAAATGAAACCCATCAGACCACAAGGGAGACACGATGACGATCATCACAAACAATAATAAATCAAAACTTCGATGCTCTTGCAATGATCATGATCCAATGAGCAAACATCTATTAACTATTCTCCTGGGCGCGACCCCCTGCATTCTTTAGTCTTGCCGGCAATCATTGCACGAACCAAACTAAATGACCGGCAGTTTGATGTATCTCACACTATGAATACAAATATTGGACGCATGACTAATTATCAATTTTTGAAATTCATTTTCGTTTTGTCCTTTATTCCCTCATAAGTCCATCAATGCGCAAGGTCGACATGAAATTTTATTGCTTATCTAATATTCTGTAACATGTTGCGTATTTTTTTTTTTTTTTCAGAAAAAAAAAATCAAGTTTTCCATGAAACACGATTCACGATTAAATAAATGGAATCCGGTCTCATTACTAAGCGAAGCCTCACTTTTGAAGAATTTCTTGTTCATGTGAATTCTAAGAATTTATTTTCAAAAATAGAAAACATACATGAGGAAGAAACTTTATGTACAAACAAAAGATTAAACCCAATATAGTGAAATTAAAATTTAAAATTCCATTGGAACTTGAATTTCACAGTTGTATGGCATCCAATACAACTATTTATAATTTTACTTTACAATTGCATATGGAAATCTGGAATTGAAGATCCTGATTATTTGAACTAGATTATTGTTTATCATAATAATTATTATCATTTATTAAACCAATCTAATTTGCTTAAATGTTATATATAAATAATATATACAAGATACTTTATAATCAATATTTCAATATTTTTATATTACAATATATATAATATATAATAAATTAAAAAAAATAAAAAAAAAAATACAATATAAAAATTATATAAATAAGATTTCAAAATTTAATTATAAAAAAATTTTTTTAAAAATATTATTATTATTTTATTTTTTTTGTAGGTAAACATCATCTTTTTATTTGATTTGTATATTAAAAGTATACATTGTGAAAGAAACAACATCTCTCATTTGTAAATACAGTGAGTTTAAT